GAGCACCATGAATGTAATATTTTAGAATTGGAGACTATATATGGAAAAAATCCTGTTATAAGGGGTCATTTAGGTAGTGTTTGGCAACTAAGATTTCATTTCAATTCATGTATTTCAATTCCAAAATTTGAAATCTTGAATTTCAAATGACAAGGGGAGGTGCTTGGATTTAAAATTAAGCTTTGTTATGAATGAGAAGAATTTGATTCAAATCCAAATTCAAAATTTGTAAGTTTCCAAACATGGAATTTGAGCCAAATCCGGATTTGAAATCCAAATCCATGTTCCCAAACATACCATTAAGGAATTTACTCTTTCTCTAATAAAGAGATTTGCCAAACTCTAGAAATCAATTTTTATCTTGGAAATTGAAGAAACAAATGGTCTATGGAAGTATTATGGAGTTCCTATTTAAAAAAGCGGTGATTTTAGAAATCTAATTCTTGTTGGATCATGGGGGGGGGGAGTGAGTTTCAGTTTTCAATTTGGAAACCGGAATCACACATCTCATTTCCACCAACATACAAACCAAACAGAGGGTATGGGCGATTGTGATTTGAAACCAGCCCCACAAATGCAAACCAAACACACCCTAGTTTACTCAACACCAGGGTGTTTATGTTTAAAAGTGAAGAATTGTCCTCTTCTTGGCTTTAGTAAAAAATATATAAAGCCAAATATTTTGAATTTATTGCAGCATTCTGAACTACAATGAAGCCGATGGAAGCATTGACATTCTTCCTCTGCTAAAAAGGATCATACAAAACAAAATCCCCGTCTGGGTTTTCAGGTAAACCTTTCTACATCAGCAGGGTTTTGTTTCTTAGTACTTCCATAACACACATAATACACTGAATGCAGTGGGGATCAAGATTCTGTCGTACCATTACTTGGGTCGCGATCGCTTGTGCTTGAACTTGCTCGTGACTTGAAGTTCGAGGTTACAGTACCTTATGGAGCTTGGTTCGACAAGGGACAGGTACTTTTACCACCCTACCCTTTTGCGGCTCGATACGGCTCTGTTTGGCATTGGCAATTAGTTCGAGTATTATTTTTCATATACTACCCCGTCCCAAAGAGAAAGTCACTTTACCCTTTACAATGACGGAAGTTTTTCTAATTCATTTTATGATAATATTTCTATACGGTGAGTGTCAAGGGATGACACCTGCTCCCATTGGGGGGAACCTACGGTGCTCCGTTTGCAACATTGATGGTTACTACCCCACGAACCATCTGCTCCCTCTGCCTAAGGGCTACATGGGGCAGGGGGGTTGTGGTGGGGGTAGATGGGGGTTAGGGGATAGGAACCATGAATTTCGCGAACAGAGCACCCCAAAACACCGCAGTGTCAAGGGAAAAGGACTAAGCTAAGAGTAAAGCATAGAGAAAAATACTAAAATAGGAGTTCCACGTTTTTATTCAAGGAGTTACAATGCCAATAATGTCAACATATTATACCAACAAACACTGTGGAATGCCAATATACAGTACCACATTGTCACAATTCAAACTCTTACTTTGGGGTTAAAAACATCGGGCTCATATTTTTGGTACTTTCTCTATGTTTTATTCCTATTTTGGGCGATTTCTTCGGCGTCAATGGAACTGTGCCGATTTCTGATATTACTATATTTTTTGATGAATTGATAAAATGAAAGCATATTGTCATGTTTGGGAATAACAACAGGTGGGAGGCTGGGCAACGGAGTACGGAAACCTGTTAACCTTTGCCACGGTGAGGGGCGCTTCTCATATGGTGCCCTACGCGCAGCCCTCTCGAGCCTTGCATCTCTTTAGCGACTTCGTACGTGGTCGGAGACTGCCAAACACGACACATCCCTCCATTGAGGGTTGAAACCAGCAAATTGTCTTATAATGAATACTCTACTAGTTCAATTATGAAACATTTGTAGTTCATTTTAAACACTTTTAATGTTATTGTCAGTCAATCAATATATGGAAAACAATATGTTAGGTTGGTACTGAGTTTTTGCTTGCCTGATTGGATCACCACATCCTATCTAATATGTTAGGTTGGTCAAAGTCTTTTTTCAAGAAACAAATTTAACTAGAAGTTCAAATTTGGATTGGAGACCTAACAAAGGGTTTCTTGTTTTAACTTTTAACTCATCTCTTCACATGCAAATAACGACATATTTTTTGTCAGGTTTTGCATGCCGAATATTAATTTTGTAAAAGTGATTGACTAATGCCCTATGAGATTCTAAATTTGTAATCTTTAATTCAACAAAAAAATTTAGGAACTAACACAATCAAAAGTTTAAATTTGTGATTGGAGATTCGATAGAAGCTTTTATACTCTAACCGTCTTAAACGATCTCTTTTATACATCCATGAGGGGAAAGATGGCCTTGATGATCAGCACTCACAACTTGAGTTCAAACTAGATAAGTGGCAAAACACTTATGTTAAGTTTATGATATTTTAAAATAAATTGAAAAAAAAAACATAGTTATTGACTATCATTTTGAGAATTTACTTTATTTTTAACAAAAATATTGATGTAAAAAATTGGGTCATATTGTAAGAGCAGAGGAAATGGGTGTGACGCTGGTGAGCGTCAACTAACCCTCATTTTAACGTTCAGGGGCGTTAAACACCGCCAGCCTAGGGTTTCAAAGTGGCGTCATTCACTCGCCGTCAGAAGTTTGACGCAGCCTCCTCCTCCCCTAACGGCTAAATTAGCCGTTGCAACAAAAAAAAATTACTCCGTATTTATTTTTTTTTATAAATTTCAAACTTCATCGCCTCCAATTCTCACACCTTTCAATCTTCTTCACATCTTCTTCAATTCTCATTTCTCCAATTCTCCAACTCTCTTTTCAACAAGAATCCCTCCGGCTCCGGCTTTTTCCCCGACGATCTCGAGCCTACGAGCACGCCATGTGGATCTTCCAACAATACGGGAGTAATCCAACAATGTTCGAGACGCAACCATCAGGGTACCTCTATGAGTGGAGTTGGTTCTGGAGACTCAACCGGAACCATCCGGCACCAAAAAAAGTGCACGCCGGAAGAGCCACAAAACGAAAAGCACTCAAGCGATGACTGAGGCGACACGGTCAGTCCAAAAGTGAACGCCGGAGGAAGAGTGCTTGTTGGCGTCGGCTTGAGTTGACGTCTCCGAGCATCTTATTGTTGGTAAAAAATATATGTTTTCTAATGTATTTGTGTTTTTATTTATATAATTGTGTTATATATTTGTGCTAAAAAAATTTCGTGTTATACTTTTTAAAAGTTCGAAGCAAACGAAGGATATGATGTGGGACCGTATCGAGAAGAATTTCTTTACGGCGATGAACAAGGACGGCTCGTAACGTACCCGGGACCAACTCACTTTCAAATTGAGCCACATCAATCGTAAAGTTTGAAAGTTTATCGAAATTTACGAGGAATTCACTTAGTTGCGGAGGAGCGGGACGAACGACGCCGATGTTCTCCGATATCAAGACAGCGGGCACCAAGGCAAGGTGCCCATCGATCTTTGGAGGATTTTGAGCCGTTCACTGAAATGGCAACAACTCAACAATTCCGATGCCGGATCCTCAAAGAAAAGATCTTCCGTCGACTCCAAGGTTGAGGTCGATGACACTATCGGTTCGTCCGAACAAAGGCCTCCCTTCAACGTTGCAGATTCCGATGACGAGGACCCGATTCCACGGCCGATCGGAAGAAAGAAGGCAAAATCAATTGCCTCAGGTTTTGGAGGATCCGGCTCTGTTTCCGTTTCTTCTCACGACGATATCGGTCGGGCAATGGTTGAACAACTTCGGATGTTCAATATTTGAGAAGAAGAAAAGGCGACAATAAATCAAGAGAAGGAAGAAATTGAAAATATGGAAACCGACCTTGATACGTTATCGGGCTTCAAACGTATGATCTTTGAGAGAAGACAAAAAGATATCAAGGCTAAATATAATTTACCTTAGTTTTTTTATTAATCTACTATTAATTATTGTCGCTTTCATTTTTTAAAATTTAATGAATGTAATTTTTTTAAATTATTGTCGCTTTAATTTCTTTTAATTTAATGAATGTAATTTTTTTAGTTATTCTCGTTTCAATATAATTAAATAATAAAATTTTTAAATTTTATTAATTTAGTTTTGGAAGATGTATATTTAAAAAGGTAAAAAATAAAATTTTAAAGCCATTATTTATAGTTCTGAGATTTCAAACTCATTTCTACACGTTTAAATTTTATTAATTTGGTTTTGAAACCCCTATTTGAAGCTGACTTAACAAAGTTGGAAGTGTTGGAAGACCTCGGGCTTTGGGTATTTCGAGTGCCCTAGCTATCGTGTTCTCAGTTACGTAAAACTTCTGGTATTTCTTTCTCAACACTCCATCTTCATCCTCGTGCTCAACGTACCAACCTGAATACGGTCATCAAACAATCAATTCGGAGCCAAAATCGTGCTTCGCTGCCTCGCTAGATCCGCAGGAGTCTTGTGACGTCGAGGGAAGATTCCACCACCATTCCGGCGCTGACTTCACTTGCTGCAGGTACTTTCACCCCAACGCCGATGGTCTCTCTCTCTCTCTCTAGAATCTTGACCCGTTTTTTCATTTCAATTTTGTTTTTGACAGATCTGCAATTCTCTATGTTTTAGTTACAACAAACTGATCCCGGGTTGTGTGTGTTTGTGTTCTTAGGGTTTTTAGATATTAGGCTGATCTATAACATTAAAATTGAACATTTTGTTCTTTTGAAGACAGATCACAGACTGTTTCCAACTTTTCATTCGTTAGGTTGGATAAATATCAAAATAGCATGGTTTTTGTGATTGGGAACATTGGAGTAGCAAGAATTGAAATTGAAAATGGGCTTGAAATTGGACTGTGTAATGTGTATGTAAATCAACAATAATCCAGTAAAGTACCATAAAAGTATGGTCTGGGGAGGGTGTGTATATGCAGACCTCGGCTCCTTGCCTGCTCTTGCTCCCAATACATATGAACTTTTTCTTCAGGCTGGAAAATTCGTGAAATATCTGCATTAAAAAGAAATGGATTGGTTTACACAAAAGTGCACTGGTGATTAGTTACAAGTGATAATGAAATTTGTCTTGATGATGCCCGTTTGCAGATCACTTAGTTACATTTGACAATATTCCATGGGTGACAGTCAATATTCATTCTCACTTACAACCTTCAGGTATGTACCCAATGAACCCCTCATTATAAAAAGATAATGGAAAAAGAAGGATATGGAGAACATATGAAAAATGAGTTACTTCTTTTGTCTCCTCCTGTTTATTATCTTACTATGGGTTATTGCCTTATTGCTACACAGCCCTTCTGGAAAACTAGTTCAGATTGAACATGCCTTAACTGCTGTGGGTTCTGGTCAAACGTCTTTAGGGATAAAAGGTATCATCTTCCTCTATCACTAGCAATACACCTAGATGAAATGATTGTCTCTCATTTAATAATAATGAATATTTATCATTCAACACCTTAATAGTTTACTTGTTCTGTTAAATGGTTATGTCTTTGCTGGGCAAATAAAATTTTAATTTGAATGCATGATAATCTTCATAAGTGGAAACCATTTGGAATCAAATCCTTATCGTTCATATTTATCAAAGCATACAGCACTTAGTTTTAACACACCCTGTAGCTGTAACATAGAAATGGCATTCCATAGTTTTTATTTTTTTACAAGGCATTCCTAATTAGGTAATTGGTGGATAGTCAATATCTTGGTAAATTACTTGAGATTGACTCTTTAAGCACACATATAACATGCTAGTGTCATTATTTATGCTCTTATATATCTGATCAAATCACATGTAGGAGTATCTGATAAAATTTCTTTAAGAACGATTCTAAAATATGCTAGGCTTATTGCAGCTTCCAATGGTGTTGTCATTGCAACTGAGAAGAAATTACCATCCATTTTGGTTGATGAAACTTCTGTAAGTCACAAAACATTGTTCTTGTGACCTTTTCTTGGACCCTTATTGAGATCCTAAGTTATATAAGCATATGCCTGGGTTCTATTTACCTCGGTCCTCTGCACCACTGACCCCTCGAACTTATATTGTCCTTATCCTTTCATCGTCATATTTTCTTTTACTATTATGTACGGTACTATATTTGGAATAACAAGGGGGATGTTGGCACTTATTTTTATTGACCACAGGTGCAAAAGATTCAGATCCTGACTCCAAATATTGGAGTTGTATACAGGTATGAGAACTGTTTCTTATCTGCTTATATATAGTATGTAGTATGTACTAGCATCATTTCCTTTTTTGTTTGGCATCCACCCTTAGGATTCTAAGTTCTTCTTGTAACCCTTTCTAACTCCACTAAGGATCTTTTGACATCACCACTTAATGTCATAATATGACATCGGGCACCTACTTGCTCGTAAAATTGATGATTCCTACCCCCACCCACCCCCTCCCCCAGTAAACCTCCCAGCCCGGCTTGTCCCTAACACACCCTCTTCAGTTGCACCCTCCAAATTTTGTTGACTAAGAGGTTGACACCAAAGGCAACAACAGTTGGGGGGTGCAATTGGAGGGGTTGTGGGGGTGCGTTAGGGCCGAGCTGGGGGGTTTTACCGGGGTAGGAACGACAATTTTGTGTTAGGAGCACGGTAGGTGCCCTAAATGAACTGATGTCATAACATGACATTGGTTATGAATGTTCAAAAACCTAACCCAGCTGACTCGTGTTTACTTTATGAGGTAAGAGATAATATTGCCTAGTTAGATATCAATCTGTTTCTTGTTTTGTATGAATCATGGATTCATGGTTAAGAGCATGGGCCTTGGAAACAAGTTGAGGACAGTAGGACATGCCCATAAAATTTCAATTCTTAGGGAGTGGATGGTGGTGGATCCATGCTGTTCTAGCTGATAATAATTAATAATAATTCCTGATTAGACCTTTTTAACTATGCTTTTGGCCATTTTGGTCAGTAGGAAATATCTCACTACATTTGTCATCTCCATACATATGTGAAATGGTGCATCTATAGAATGAACTTCATTTCTTTTTTGCAGTGGCATGGGGCCTGATTCTCGAGTTTTGGTTCGGAAAAGCAGAAAGCAAGCTGAACAATATCACCGACTATATAAAGTATGAATGACCTCTCTATTCAAGCCCTCAAAGTTGCATTTATTAGCATTCTTTTGTTTTGTGTGCAACAATCTATATATTCTCTAACATGAAATAGGGCCATAGGCTATGATCAATTATTTCAAAACTCAGGGTGCCAGCTGCATGCAGCATTTGATGAATGTAGCAAAGTTTTGACATTTTCTATTCTGTTTTATGTTCTCTGTTAATTGTTTTACTCAGGAACCAATCCCTGTCACACAACTTGTCAGGGAAACTGCAGCAGTGATGCAGGAATTCACTCAATCAGGGTAATTGTTATTCCATGATTTGCATTGTTTACTTAAGATAGTTGGTTTACTACTTCCATCCCTATATAATGTTTCCATTTGTTTTATCAAACATCTGGTTGGTTAAGTCATACACCCTCTGTCCAAGTTGAAACTTCTCGTTTGACTTGGCACGAGTTTTAATGTAATATAAAAAGTATATTGACTTCTCCAAAATGCCCCTTCACTGTTCCCTTCACAAATTCTCGCCATTGCTTTCTTAGATCTAAAACTTTGTTTGACGACTTTCAAAATCACTTTCCCAGACCTGGAGCTTTGTTCGACAATTCAAATGAACTTAACTCAATGAATCGTACTTCAAAAAACACTGAGTAGAGGCAATCTGCTATTCAAACAAACTCAAACGTTGAATTGATGGTAGATGACTTTCCCAAACGACAAGTCGACAATTGTACACAATTGCCTCAATTCAAATGCTGCCTTGTTTCACGATGGCTAGCCAGAGACAAAATTCATAGGGG